TACGTAAGTAATTTAAACTTTACTCCGCATAAAATAATAATGTAAAAACTGATTATATGCATTAGGATGTTTGTTTGCGGTGACGATCACCGTGCAGCAAATATTTTCTTTATAGTATTAAAATTATATTATTACAATATAGTATTTGTATTGTTAAAAAAATCTATGTTTCTGCAAAGTATCTAATATTAAAGAAATTGGTAGAGGTGGATTCGGTATTGTATATTTAGCAATTTGGTTAGGTGGTAAGCGAACAGTCGAGAAAATTGTGAAGATTATAAACAGTCACGTAGAATACCTTATGTTGTTGTACTTAAAATTTTACCTGGTTCTAAGTCAGATGCGTCTAATTTTTTAAACGAGGTAAGAATATTATCTATTTGACTGTAATTTAATTTATATATCTGATATGACCTATAAATTTATTTATACATTTTTGAAATTTTAAAGTTTAAAACTCATATGGAATGTAGATTAGAAGGTATTGAACTTGAAATGTATGGATTGACTCAAAATGAATAGGATGAATATTTGATGGTATTTCAATATGCCAATAGAGGAAATCTTTATGAATTTTTAACTCAAAATTTTAGCGAACTTACATGGCAAAAGAAATTGGAGCAACTTAAATATATATCAAATGATTTACATCTGATTCATAGTGCAGGATTTATACATAGCGACTTTCACAGTAAGAACATTTTACTGAACCAAAATCTTGATGGAATAATAAAATCATACATTGCAGATCTTGGATTATCAAGAAAAAAAGATGATGTTTCAAAAGTGATGATATTTTTGGAGTTATGCCATATGTTGCTCCTGAAATTTTATCAGGCAAAGCGCAGTTTACACAAGCAGCAGATATTTATGGATTTGGTATTATTATGACTGAAATCTCAACTGGACGAAGAGCCTTCGATGGTTGTGAATTTAATATCAAACTTTCAAAAATATTTGCAAAGGAGTGCGGCCAGAATTTACTCCTAGAAAACCTAGTTGTTATAAAGAATTGGCTAGTAAGTGTATGGATTCTGATTCAGGAAAACGGCCAGAGGCATTGGAAGTCCATAAAAAACTTCAAGAATGTATTTAAAGCATTGTAGAAGATTCAGATGATGATGAAATTAAAAAGCAATTCTTAGATGCTGATAAGGAAATCAAAAAATTACATCTTAATTCACCAAAACATCCAGGTTCTATGTACACTAGCAAAATAATTGTACAAATTTCGAGTGAAATTTAAGAGATTTTGTTTAAAAAAATCGAAAAAGCTTTTTTTTTTACTTAAAATAAATTTTTAAATTGGTCTTTATTGCAAACTTATAGAATATATTTTTAAACTTTATTTACCATATTGAAGTTTAGATTGTCGAATAAAAATGATAAACACTGAGTACTTAAAAACAATATGGAATCTTTACTAGAAAATAACTCTCCGAAATTCTAAAGAAAAAAAATAATAAATTTGCTAACTATCCAAGACCCAATTTGAACCATTGAATGTCTAGTAGATTTAATTTTTTTTTTATCATAAATTCCCGAGGATAGTTATTTACTAACTATTAAAGTCTATATATTAGCAATAAAAAACTTTATATGTTATAATTGTGCTAGCCAACCATTTCGATACATCAAGAATATACTGTAATTTATCGTGCACGAAGTGCACAATAACTAGTTACAGTCAGATTTATATTCAGATCACATGGCCGAAGGCCATGTGATCTGAGTATAAATCTGACTGTAACTAGTTATTATACACTTTGTGCATGATAATTTATAGTTATTGTTCGGGTCCCATGTAACAACTGATACTTTTTTTGTTTAATTATTCGGGCACTTTACTATTAAAATCATATGATTTTAATAGTAAAGTGCCCAAATTAGCAAATTATGCAATTTTGTATTTTTACTTTAGCATCGAAGATTTTATATCTATAATTCACGGCATTATTAAAATGCTACAAATATGTTAGCAAGAATTTACATAAATTCACTAGCGAAAAATTAACCTATCAACTAATTATTAATTGAAAGATTCATAGTAATATTAAGCGGTTTGTCAGTTTCAGGAAGTTGAAGTATAATATTATTTGTGGCTTCTCTTAATGGCATTCGTGGGCGATGCTTGTACAGTTTTATTTTTTCAGGATCATTTGTAGGAATCTTAAATGGCTTGAAAACTTTAGAATTCAAATCACCTACATATGGAATAGAACGTTTCTTTTTTTGCAATGTAGTTTCTTTCATTTTAAGAGTGTCATTTTCTAAAAAAAAAAAATAAAAAATAAAAAAAAATAAAAACAATTATATTAACCATTTATGCGAAATAAAATACCTTTTTGTGTAGAATCTTGTAAACTTTGCCCATTAATATTCGAATCTTGTAAGTATGGCATCTCAATTGAATCTTGCAAATCTTGTTGTACTTCAATAGTTGAATCGTAAGAGTCTTCTATAGTTGAATCGTGAGAATCTTCTATAGCTAAATCATGAGAGCCTTTAATTGCTAAAATTTAATAAATTATAGTACGTATGTGTATAAAGTGTGTTTATAATTATTAAATAAGTATATATGCATACTTACATTCTAGTTGATTCTCATTTACATAATCTGATTCAAACTCGTTTAAATCTTGCTCTTGAGATGCAAATGGAATTAGTAGTGCCATGGATGCAAGTCTTTGATCATATGATGCCACTATATGCACGAATTCCTTCTCTAGATCTATGGCCAGAAAATAACATTGCTTCATCTTCAGGGACATTAGATCGCTTGAGTATGGTGATTGCTGTACGTCTTGCACTATGATTAGTAATTTTTCGTCCATCAGCAAGATCAACTCCAGTGTTAATTGCAATTTGATTTAACATTATTTTAAGTTTTTTTTCGCCCATTTTAGATGGTTTGTACATCATTCCTTTTTTTAGCTCTGTTAAATATATTGATCATTCGAGTTGACATGCAGTCAACAGATCGAAAAGATGGCTAAGCGGTGATGTAACGATCGCCAAGCACGTGGTCAAAAACCGGAGCCATCTCGGCCGGCAGGGGGCCGAACAATGCATAAGAAATCAACATCATGAGAAGAATAAACGCTCCATCAACTTCCGGATCCGGTAATCATGAGGTAATCATTGACCCGAGCAGGATTCAAGTCAAGTACAGATAAGTATAACGTTAAATAATGATGCAAAACCACGTGTGTAGTCTATGTCTAACTAAATTGCCAAAACGTTTCTCTCGCGAAATGAGTAAACGAAAAGCGAAAAACAAAGATGACAGCCAAGACGGAAGCACAAATTTGGAAGATACAATTGAGGCGGGCACGCCACACGATAGTCAAGGGCATGAAACAAACGAAATAAACAGACAAATAGATACACAGACAAAAGCTTACGTGGAAGCAATAATCCAGTCATCAGCAACGTCAATAATGGAAAATATGCGGCAATACATGGACCAGCAACTGGAAGTGCAGAGAGAATGGAGCTTGAGATGCATAGAGACGATTAATCAACGTTTTGCGCAGTTAGAACAGACCAATTTGATAGGTAATGGAAGTAACATCAATCGACCCAGAGATAACGAACCACCAACAAGACAAAACCCTGAGACCAGCAGAACGCACACAACGCAAACAACCAGCACAGATTACAATACAGAACAAGGAGAAGGTAACTATCCGTCAACTCCGATAATTAATAGCTTAATCGCAAAAAT